TATATATATATCTATATATATATATATATATATATATATATATATATATATATATATACACACACACCCGTGCCTTTATTTCTTATGTTTGTGTTGCTGGAAATAGAAGAAGAGCAAAACCATTAAACAAGCAAAATTAAAATAAAGTACATAGTTTGAAGTAGTTAACTAAACTGTTAATAAAAGAAGTTCAAATTTTTTGAACTGAACTACAAATAAGTATAATTCAGTTTTTATAAAAAGTAGTTTAGTTTTTATAGGGCAAAATAGTATAGATAATCCATAGTTTAGTATAATTTAGTTAATCATGCCCAGCCCTAATAGTAGGTTGTGCTTGATACTTAGAACAAATAATTATATCCTTATATCATCCTATATAGGAAATTTTAATTATTCAAATCAAAATATAATTAATAATTTTAAGCATATTTTCATACAAAATATCAATATTTATAATTCCATAATGTAATAATAAATTTAGAATTATACAATCAAGTTAAACATGTGTACGTAGAGAAGTAATTCAAATTTGGAAAATGAAACGTAAGTCTTCGCTCTTTATCTAATGGATCTATCGAGGAGAGAATTCATTAAGATATATAACACAAATAATATCTGAGTCCAACAAAGGAATTCACATCACTTCCAACCCAAAACTTTAATGCTTTTATATTGGAGGTGGTGTTAATTTTCTATATGATTGAAGTCAAGTTTCATTAGTATTATTTCTCTTTGATGAATTCTCCCCTCGATATTTGTGGTATCAGAATTGACGATTTGTCTTGGTGATTGATTCATACAAGTATAATATAATTGTTGTATCGAAAGTCTTCTCTATGAAAGGTTGAGGTAAGCGTGTTTGATTAATATGAACGACTCAAGATTGTGAATGCTTTCCTTGAAGGAGAATTGTACCAATATGAAAGACACTTACTCTTGAGGGTAAGATTGTTGAAAATCTAAGTGAGTTTAAGTCCCACTTTGGGTAGAAATAAAAATGTTAAGTACTATATAAGGATCAAGATCCATAAACACATTATCTTAAGGTTTTAGGTTGAAGAGAATGTCAACTCTTTGTAAATTCGACTCAAGTCTTATTAGTGTTGTTTTGTTAATGAATTCTCCCCTTCATAAACTCATCACAATCTTCAACAGAGTAGTAATCAATAAAATACCCATGGGATAAAAATGTTGAAAGTTTATGTTTTAAAATCCAACTTTCTTTCTTATGTTGGTATGTTTTAATAAAAATGTTGATTAGGACTTTGTAATTCAACATGCAACCTATTAAAAAAAATGATTTTCTAAAGTTAAAATCAAATTTATAATGTTTTCCAACACTTTTAATCAATTATATTTCTATAATCGATTAAACTAATCTTGAGAAGTTTTTAAAATAGAATAATTGATTACCTGATAAAATAACTGATTAATCTAACGAACTCTTTAATTATTTTGAGATTTTCAGCATAATAATTGATTGAAATACTGTTTAATCAATTTAACTTGTTTTATAAAATTAATGAGTAGCATGTTTAACCAATTAAAATGTGTAATAATCTATTATTATAGAAAAAAACTACAAATGTTTTTTAAATTTTGTTAGAATAATCGATTAAAAACGATTTAATTGATTAATTGTATTAGAAAATGCTTTGACCAATGGTTTGAAAACTCTATAAACATATATTCACCCTAAATCTTTTAGATAACTTTTTCAATTCTAATGACAAATATTTCTTTTAACTATAATTGCAATTTTTAGTGCATTCAAAGATTTAATAGTAATCAAAGGTTGCACTAATTTCACAAAGTCGCAATGTTGCTTCTGCTATGGAAAATTCTTTTCGTTATGTTTTTCTAGAGTTTGTTCCAACCTTACCTGTATTTTCTGAATTGTTTGATGTTTGTCATATAGATTTTGATAAGACTAACATCTTTTTTAGATAATCAAAGAGTTAATAAGGTTTCGAAAATCGTGGAGTGATTGAAGAATGGATAAAACATATATCTTTTTGTTATCTAGAATTAGTTAAGGCCTGTATCCTCTAACTTTCATACTTGCTAATTAAATATGTACAAACTTTATTGTAGGATTGTTTAAATCTAAACTAATTAAAAATTTATATGCACTTTATCTTATGTCTTATAACATAATAATTATATTAAATGGCCGTGAATGAAAATTAAATGCTGAAGTGTAAACTTAACATAAAAATATAAAAATTAAAGATTAATTTGTTTAATAGTAATAACGATAAACCTTAAAACGAGATTGTATGGGTGGAAATGCTAAAGAGAGTGGGAGAATTGTCTTACCAATACATTTAATGACATATAATTTTTTTAAGAATATAAATTTTACTAAAAATTATAAAATGGAAAAGGTATTTGTTTAAGACATGAAAAACAAAAAAAATATAATTTTTAATAAATTTCAATTAATAGAAGAACCCGCATTTAGATGTTGATTACCAGCATTTTGGTTTATACATAAAGAAAAAGTCAATAATAGATTGACGTAATAGAAAATATAGAGATAATAAATAAAGTAAAATATAAGACGAAAGAAACATGTTACGAAATAATTATTTTATATTATTTAATTAAAATATGTTTATAGAAGAATTTTCTGTAGGACCATTAGTAATAAAACAATATTAAGTATAATTAAACCACTAATTAAAAATAAAATAAAAAGTTTGTAATTATTAATTAATTTTATTTATTAATTTTTCATTAATATGTTTAAAAGATACGAAATCATTTAATTTGAAAATAATTTTGTTTAATATATATATATATATATATATATATATATATAAAGAGTCACACAGTTTCTTTCTCATAGACACACTGAGTTCTGGCTCGTCAACTTCCCATCCAACATTCCCCAGCACTCTCGCCATGGATCACCGTGTCTCCCGTCGAACCGAGATCCTAACCAACCACCTCCTCCGCCGTGCACCGCCGCCTTCCTCCGTTCTGCAGCCCCACCGCTGCCTGAGCTACTCCCCTCCCGAGCTCTCCAACGAATTCGCGTTCGACTTGCGAGAGATGCGAAGGTTAATGGACGGGCACAATCTGGAGGACCGCGATTGGCTCTTCTCCGTCATCGTGCAGGGCGCACTCTTCAACAGTCGGGAGCGCGGCGGCAGAATTTTCGTCTGCCCCGACTACAACCAGTCCATGGAGCAGCAGCGCGAAGCCACAATGAGGCGCATAGAGTATCTTGTGGAGAGAGGGGTTTTCCGAGGGTGGCTCACTGGCGAGGGTCCGGAGGAGGAGCTGAGGAAACTTGCGCTCCATGAGGTTATAGGGATGTATGATCACTCCCTTGCTGCTAAGCTTGTGGTTCACTACTTCCTCTGGTTGGTTATGTTTTCTCTTTTCTTTTCTATCGTTTTCTTCTTCAGAATAGTTGGAATTTGAATTAGAAACCATTTATACTACAACGATCAGTTTGGACTTCTTTGTGAGTATTTTGGGAGAAGAAAGTAAAAAAAATTTATACAATTTCCTACATTTAGCTTTTGCATAAATTAATTTGCAGAAATAATTTTTATTACCTTTCTTAACTTTGATGAAATAAAGATGAAAAAATATTTATGCCGATAAAATCTGCAACAACGGATAATTAATATTTATAGATATTTATTATTTGTAGATTGGTATTGTAATATTCTGTAAAAAGTTCAATGTAAATATTATAACCCTGCAAAAAAACTAAAATAAAAATTTGTTTTATTTTTGTTAAATTAAATTTAATTAAAATTTAAATTAATTTATATATTGTTAAATTAAATTTAATTAAAATTAAAATTAAAATTTTAATTTTAATTTTAATTTATATTAAATTATATTTATTTTGATTTAATTTTATTTTAAAAAATTATAAAATATATATTTTTTAAATATTTTTATGTATTTATGGATATTTATGATTTTTAAAATATCCGCTTTTTAAACAGATATTCAAGTGTTATCGACTGGATAACGGATAACTGATAACTGATAAACACTCTTGTTCATGCTTGACCCGTCATTTCAATGCTCCAATTTATTTTACCGAGTTAATTTTAATTTTTTCTTTAAAGAATTTCTTATGCTGAAGTTTATTTGAACATGCTTGAAAAGAATTACTATCTCCTAAATAGCGTGTGCATGAATGTAACGGGTGAAAAAAATGAAAGTCTAACAAATGCTGAGCTGGATGTGGGGGACAGGTCTGTCATACCAGAAAATCATTTGGCAGGTGATCCACAAGGAAAAGGGAGTAGGAAAAGCATGAGGCGTAAGAGAGAGAATATATTTATGAAGGATTACGTGCTCTAGGGGAGATATGCGTGTGGTATGTTCCCTCTGACCAATTCTGTTATTCCCCTTCTTCTTACTGTACTACCTCTCCTTCTGAAATTCTTTTTCTATGAATGAACCAGGTTAATCCATTGTGAGATGGCTATTGGGACGCTTCTGTTATTGGCTGAATACCTTTCACTATATTGTTCAGTTTCCTTTTGTTCACTTTGAAATACCCATATCAAACCTCTGTCATATTTTGATTACAATAAAACTATACATTCCAGAGTTTATTTTAATTCATTCTCTGTCCCTATTGTGGGGTTGTTTTTTGTTACTGTTTCATTGGTGCTTTCATTGACGCCATGGCTGAGAACACCCGTTTGAAGGACCTACAGGCAGAAGTACGTAGTCATTCCGAGGAACTTCGCAAACTTATGGATCTTCTTGAAATTCGTGACAGGGAACAACGGGCTCATACTCAACAAGTTCAGGCTGATGCGCAAGCTCGTATGGATCAATTTCAACAATCGTTAGAGTTAATCGTGAAATCGCAATCTCAGTTTCATGGTGCCACTTCGGGAGCAACTCCGTTGCAGGTTGCGCTACCGGCTAAGGACATATCCTTGGGATTCCCCCATTTCGATGGTCAATCATCAGTGTTAGAGTGGATTTTTAAGGCTGAAAAGTTCTTTAACTATCACCACACGCCGGATGCGGAGAGAGTCGAAATTGCTGCAATGCATTTCGAAAAAGATGTAGTGCCTTGGTTTCAAATGCTGCAAAGGTTATCTGCGGTGCAAACATGGACAGAATTGAAGCGCGCTTTGGAATCTCAGTTTGGACCCTCTCCTTTTGATTGTCCAATGGCAGAGCTCTTTAAATTAAGCCAAACTAGCACAGTTTCTGATTATTACTTGAAGTTTATGTCGTTGGCGAATAGATCCATGGGGTTATCTGATGAAGCTTTATTAAATTGTTTTTTGAGTGGGTTAAATGCTGAGATTAGACGTGATGTGGTGGTTCAAACTCCTACTTCTTTGTTGCGAGCAGTAGCTTTGGCAAAGTTATACGAGGAACGATACTTCCCCACGGTTAAATTTAATCATGTGCCTGTTAAACGATATTCTCCATTGTCTTCAACGAGTTTGCAGACGTCACAGCAACCTCTAAAATTTGGGGTTAAACCATCTCTTCCACCATTATTACCAAAACCTACAATTCCACCTTTGATCAATAGTAATGTCAGAAGAATTAGTACAGCGGAAATGCAACTTCGCAGAGAAAAGGGATTATGTTATTTTTGTGATGACAAATTTACTTTTAACCACAAGTGTCCAAATAGACAGTACTTGTTTTTGAATTTGGAGGATGATTCGTTGGATCCTGATTATGAGCCGCCACCAGATATTGATCAGCAGGTTGTTAATGAAGATATTGTGATTGATGACCATCATTTATCTCTGAATGCTCTTAAAGGTGGAGTGGGGGTGGGTACAATTAGATTTTTAGCTTACATTGATAAGCTACCTGTTACGGTTTTGGTGGATGGAGGGAGTTCAGACAATTTTTTGCAACCTCGCCTAGCAAAATTCTTGAAGCTTCCGGTGGAACCAGCACCAATGTTCAAAGTCATGGTCGGCAATGGAAATTATATGGCAGCCGAGGGTTTCATTCAGAAATTGGCCCTCCATGCTCAAGGGCATTTATTTCACATACCTGTCTATTTACTTCCAATTTCAGGGGCTGATCTGATTCTGGGAGCTAAATGGTTGAAAACCTTAGGTCCCCATGTAGCCGATTATGAATCCTTGAATTTAAAATTTTTGTATCAAGGTNATCCAACATTCCCCAGCACTCTCGCCATGGATCACCGTGTCTCCCGTCGAACCGAGATCCTAACCAACCACCTCCTCCGCCGTGCACCGCCGCCTTCCTCCGTTCTGCAGCCCCACCGCTGCCTGAGCTACTCCCCTCCCGAGCTCTCCAACGAATTCGCGTTCGACTTGCGAGAGATGCGAAGGTTAATGGACGGGCACAATCTGGAGGACCGCGATTGGCTCTTCTCCGTCATCGTGCAGGGCGCACTCTTCAACAGTCGGGAGCGCGGCGGCAGAATTTTCGTCTGCCCCGACTACAACCAGTCCATGGAGCAGCAGCGCGAAGCCACAATGAGGCGCATAGAGTATCTTGTGGAGAGAGGGGTTTTCCGAGGGTGGCTCACTGGCGAGGGTCCGGAGGAGGAGCTGAGGAAACTTGCGCTCCATGAGGTTATAGGGATGTATGATCACTCCCTTGCTGATAAGCTTGAGGTTCACTACTTCCTCTGGTTGGTTATGTTTTCTCTTTTCTTTTCTATCGTTTTCTTCTTCAGAATAGTTGGAATTTGAATTAGAAACCATTTATACTACAACGATCAGTTTGGACTTCTTTGTGAGTATTTTGGGAGAAGAAAGTAAAAAAAATTTATACAATTTCCTACATTTAGCTTTTGCATAAATTAATTTGCAGAAATAATTTTTATTACCTTTCTTAACTTTGATGAAATAAAGATGAAAAAATATTTATGCCGATAAAATCTGCAACAACGGATAATTAATATTTATAGATATTTATTATTTGTAGATTGGTATTGTAATATTCTGTAAAAAGTTCAATGTAAATATTATAACCCTGCAAAAAAACTAAAATAAAAATTTGTTTTATTTTTGTTAAATTAAATTTAATTAAAATTTAAATTAATTTATATATTGTTAAATTAAATTTAATTAAAATTAAAATTAAAATTTTAATTTTAATTTTAATTTATATTAAATTATATTTATTTTGATTTAATTTTATTTTAAAAAATTATAAAATATATATTTTTTAAATATTTTTATGTATTTATGGATATTTATGATTTTTAAAATATCCGCTTTTTAAACAGATATTCAAGTGTTATCGACTGGATAACGGATAACTGATAACTGATAAACACTCTTGTTCATGCTTGACCCGTCATTTCAATGCTCCAATTTATTTTACCGAGTTAATTTTAATTTTTTCTTTAAAGAATTTCTTATGCTGAAGTTTATTTGAACATGCTTGAAAAGAATTACTATCTCCTAAATAGCGTGTGCATGAATGTAACGGGTGAAAAAAATGAAAGTCTAACAAATGCTGAGCTGGATGTGGGGGACAGGTCTGTCATACCAGAAAATCATTTGGCAGGTGATCCACAAGGAAAAGGGAGAAGGAAAAGCATGAGGCGTAAGAGAGAGAATATATTTATGAAGGATTACGTGCTCTAGGGAAGATATGCGTGTGGTATGTTCCCTCTGACCAATTCTGTTATTCCCCTTCTTCTTACTGTACTACCTCTCCTTCTGAAATTCTTATTCTATGAATGAACCAGGTTAATCCATTGTGAGATGGCTATTGGGACGCTTCTGTTATTGGCTGAATACCTTTCACTATATTGTTCAGTTTCCTTTTGTTCACTTTGAAATACCCATATCAAACCTCTGTCATATTTTGATTACAATAAAACTATACATTCCAGAGTTTATTTTAATTCATTCTCTGTTCCTATTGTGGGGTTGTTTTTTGTTACTGTTTCATTGGTGCTTTCATTGACGCCATGGCTGAGAACACCCGTTTGAA